CGGTACAAAATTTATCAAGGGATTAAATTCACTCGTATCTAAAACATTATAGCTGGCGCTAAGGCTGGCATCGCTGGGAATTTTTTTAAATATCCTAGCAAACTACTTCGGACAACAACTTGGTTGCCCTAACAACACGACCAAGTTGCGAAAACGAGGCCAAACGACTTCTATACAAGGCTTACTTTAGTTTATATCGTAGAGACGGGAGATAAACTATCAATCCTTGGCTCCTTATGAATTGGTAGATTACTATTTCTTATTAACAAGGATTAAAACATCCTCCATTTTCTTTAAAGAATATGAATTGGTATCAATCAGTTTCGCTTATGGTTAGGTTTCTACAGGCGTCTTCTCTTTCTTAGGGAGTCTTGCTTCAGAGTTATTTTCTACATTCCTTCGTATTGTAAAGATTCATTTAAGCCTAGATTTTAATTATTTCGTTTTTGTGCTCTCTTGTCATATCGCAATATAGACATTACCCTGCTCATGCTGTTTTGTTGAAGATGTATCCTTCCATTTAAATCTAATGGCAGCCAGCTATTGGCATATTTTAAAAAAATCTTCATACTATTTTCGTTTATGCGAATATTATAAGAATTATTTGCCTGATAAATTGTGTATGATCCTGTTTTCATGTTTTTTTTCTATTCTTTTATCTTTACACTGACCTTTGCATTTTTTTGTCTCGTCAGCGAATCAACACTTTCAGATGCTAACTATCTGACTATATACCCATCACTAGAACTCAATTTCGGGCCTTCAAAACTTCCTATCACCCCCGATCTTAGTGGTCGACATCAGTTAAGCGCAAATCTCGCGCCATCTCCCTCACCTAATCCGGAACTGGTTTTCCTCTCGCTTCTGTCTGCGTTGCCCTCTCCTTTTGAGTTGACTGTCACAGCTGTACAACCGCATCAGGCCGCGAGTATTGGCGGTCATCTACTACAAAGCCAGCGACTTGCACAAGGCCCAGGAGCATTCAAATACTCCACAACAGTGACGCAAATGTCTTCCATCTCAACATCATGTCTTGAACGGCCTGTTTCTCCAATGCCGAAGCTAGTAACATTAGGAAATGGGGCCTTGCCTAATGGACAGATACCATTGCCTCAGCTTGCATCTAGCGATCTGGAGATTTACAAAGGTAAGCTTATGAGAATATTGTAGTGAATTTGCTCTTGTGGTTGCTATATATGAAGGATTAGCATCATTAATCTTCATGTTTTTTTCTCTTGTATAAATCTTTTGTGTATATTTAAAAATATTTTTTGCTAATATACTATAATTTAATAATATAAAGATCAAGAATGGGGATTTCAGTTTTAACCCTTTTTCACTGTAGAGTTAGTTGAACTTCGTTTTCGCCTTCAGGGCGACTTCAAAGAATGCACTACTCACTACATCCTTCGAAATTGTTTTTTAATTCGATCATTTGACTATTGATAGAGTACAGTGACAAACTTTTAGCCTATCTCGTGATCGGTGCAAAACGTAAGCCCTTATACCGAGCCCTTGAATATTAATTTCTTATCTAACCATCCAATTTTATTTCCCCGATCTCAGCTATCGTATCCGTCATATTCCCATGACCTATCCGAATGTATAGTAGAACAGCTACGATAGCCTCACTTTGGGCAGTTCTCAAAGTCGTGATCATATAACTCACCTTTCTTATTCGTCGTGTCAGTAAATAACGGACTATCGAATACCGTTAAGAATTCATATGAATTGTCTCAAAGGATCCAAAATATTGGATTGGTAGAGACGAAAATGTTGGTAAGCTTTGACGTACAATTCATGTACAGAAACATCTCAGGCGAGAAGGCAATCACGGCCTTACTGGAGGCCTTGGAACAAGATGAGGATATCCTGGAAGCAGAGCGGATACGGAAGGAGTAGTTGACACGACTAATTAACTTGACAGTAAGTACTAGATATGTTACATTCAACGGCAATATCTATGAGCAAATATTTATACTACAGATAGGATCTCCACTCTCACCACTTTTAGGAAAAATGTATACATAAACAGATTGGTGAAGAAATTCAAGAAGTCACCACTGCAACCAACAGTGCTAATGCGATACCTGGACGACTACTTTGCGCCTTTGATAGGACCCGAACAGAGATCATTGTGGATTAAACCGAAGCCTTGGATCAACACTCTCCACACAGTGGGAAGAATGAGGAAATCTGTGGTGAGTGTGAATAGATTTCAAATAGGTTTAGATAGACAAGTAAGAAATTGTGATATGATGCTATAGGATATAGCCCAGGACAGGATATATACCACAACTGTTTAGCACACATTTGGTCAAAGGATCGACTTCATTTGTCTCTTTAACGACTTGTAGTGTGGTGTTGTGAATGGCAAGGCTCATTGAAGATGTCGGCGAAACGTCTGGGAATGTACTAAGTCCACGGTCCGACTCTGGAAATTATCATACATATTATGGACTCCGGACTAGCTGCGTTCCTCTGGGTCTTCCTATCAATATGGCGAAGTTGCAAAAACAAGGTCAAACAACTTCTATACAACGAAAGGAGACCGCGGCCATACAAGCGGCCATACAAAAGGCCATACCATCGTTGTCTTCATATCTTCGATTAGCCTTGTAGTGACACTTCAGCACTATCCAAGCTATATCGTGACTTGGTTCGCGATTTCATTCGAAGTACTGCTGACAGACGATAAAGCGTTTTTTAGATGAAATAATATTCTTATTTAATTCAAGCCTTTAGATTCTATATGAGCTCCTTTTTCCTCTTTTTATACCAATTTCCTTGATTATACATAATTTTCTTTGAAATTAAGTTTATACGAGCATCTGAATTTAGAAGGACTAATAGCAGAGCACAAAATGCATAATCATGACACTTTTCGGAGATAATTCGTGCCTATATGTTAAAATGCTCACCAAACCTTTCCTATACATAATGCTGGAGGCTCGCCTACATTTCAGATGATAGGGCACGGTCAGTCGAAAATTGTTTACATTGCTCACGCTTCCTATATTTTTTTCCTGTTAGAGTAAAAAACCACGACATATTGATGCTTTATTTTTTACTGGTGCATTACTATATTGCCATTTTACCACTTATAGTTAGATTATGAAGTTTTCTGTTTGCTTTCGGTTTATTTAAGGGAATTGTTTTATTTTGAGAAGCGTTGTTAATCAATTTTTTTCATAACTCTTTATATAAAAAGTAAGCATTAGATAAACTTTCTATTCTTTATTTAAAATCGACTTATTACTCAGGTATTAAGAGGATTTTTTCTTGCTTCCGGCTACTTCTCTTGATTTTTGAGATTATTTTTTTCCATTTCAGACTACATAGCTTCCATACCTACCATACGATCTTGCGAATCCCTTCATACCGAGCAAATCTATGAGAGTCGGATGAAACGTGTTTCTATAATGCCTTCTTCGCTTGATCTCTATAAAGTATGTATTATTGTCATTTTTATATTTTACTTACCATTTTTTGCAGAAGATATTCATTTTCGTCTAACTTAGATAATAGAATACTCCGATCATGAAAGTTATATCCCTTATATATTTGGATTGTGCATTAGTATTAGCAGTACAACACTGATAGTTTGTATATGTATGAAAAAGATTAGTTTTAGAATATATGAAGACCAAGATGTTGTGGCCTCTGTTATGGTCGCAGTCTCCTTTCGATTTATAGTAATGGGTCGACCTCGTTGTCGCAACTTGGTCTTCTTGTCAGGGCGACTATGTAGAACGCACCTAATCCGAAGTCGTCTGCCATAGTAGTTGTCATGATTCCCAGAATCTGACAGTGGACT